AAAGAGGTAACATGACCGGATACTGTTGCACGACTTAGAAGAGATGTCTTGGCACCCCAGGGTGTTGATTTAGAGTAGGGGTGTTTGTTCAATTAAGATGGATTCCTTGATTTTTCATTTGTTTATGTTTGGTTCTTTGTTTAAAATTACTGTGTTTTTAATAGATATACTATGGTTTTTTGAGTTGCAATGGTGGAAACATGGGACGTTTTTTTATTATGTTCTGTGAATCTGGTTTCCAATTTTCTTCCTGTTTCTCCGATGTAGAATTCTGGGCAGTTATTGCATGTTATTTTGTAAATGACATTGGTACTGTGTGATTCTAAATAATTTTTGTTTAGTAGCGATTTTAATTTAGGGCCAGGTTTTTTGAAAGAATTTGACCGACAGGAATTTTGTGTTTAATGGCTAGTTTTGTCCAAGTGTGAATTATTCTTGAGCTGATTTCAGAGACAAATGGTAAACCGCAGTATAATGTTCTGTTGTTGGGTTTGTTAGTGTCAATTTTGTTCATGAATTGAGTTTTGTTGTGGGGAATGTTGGAGAGTTTTTCAACAATAGCTGGTGTAAATTTATTGGTGTGAATGAAGGAATGCTTTATGTGGTTGATTTCTTCATTTATATAGTCCGTTGAACAGAGTCTTGTGGCTGTGTTTATGAGGTTCTTCAGTGTATTGATTTTTGTGTGGTGTCATGAGCGGAATTCCAGGGAATGTAGAGGCCAGTGTGTGTGTTCTTACGGTGAATTTTGGTTTTAAACTGCGTGTCCGATCTAATAACGTTGAGATTAAGAAAAGATAAATGTTTATTGTTTTCATGTTCTGTGGTAAATTTGATGTTGGGATGAATGGTAATTTATGTTTTCAAAGAAAGTCAGTGTGTCAGTCACATACAAGTTCAACTTGAGTTAGGCTTAGCCGCAGACTCGAGATAAATATCTCCACACGACTACACTTCGTACTCAATTCCTTACCTGAAGGCTTGCTGCAGAATTCGAAGTATTCTTTTCATCACCCTGTGTTTTCGTCCTCTTCACCTTCTTTTGACCACTCATTTTAAATATGAAATTACATACGATAACGAAAACTATACTACTTTAAAAATAAAAATACATTCCCTAGTTTCTTCGCGTCTAGTTTCATTACAATACATCACCTACTGTTAAAATTACTATAAGGGACCATTTTAAATTTATATACAATTTATATATATATTGTTTTCATGTACGCTCTTTCCTTTTTAAATCATCGTAAAAATGAAGTTACCTTATGATGTTATGAAACCAAACAATAATAAACTAACTATATTTGTTCAATAGAACATTCGTTAACTAGTCCTTTAATATATTTATTAAACTACGTTAGTACTCTGAAAGTCAATAAATAATTAAAATATGCCTTATTTTGGTTATCATGACCATTATTGTGGTGATAATTTTATTGCAAAAAATATTGGAAATGGTAAGTTTTTCAAATACTATATCAGTATACGATGGCTCGAGCACAGCTTAGCGGTTAGCGTGACAGGCTGCATATCGAACTACTCAAGGCTTGTGACACGATGGGCTGAACACGATCTACTTACTTGTACAAAGTATTGCGAGAACTCTCTTTTATTTCAACTAGCTTGACGCTTTACGGAACGTCGTATGTTCATAATTTATCGCTGTTATAGGTATTCCTAGGATTAACTTGAACGTTACATAACATTATATCATCAAAAACCCGCGACTACCTCTAATTAGCAAACAAAATACAATGTTAGAAAATATAGTTTACAAGAGTAGAGTTGTATGTTTAACACCAGAATGTGTATTATTTGATGTATTGTTGAGGTAGAGTACTTATGATGAAACTTAGTTGAATGGACAGCAACTGCCTGTTGTAGAAACACAAGTGTAGAGAGCGAAGTTTCGAAAGTCTTCCACCTTTCGTCTTCAGTAAACTGTTGTCGGTCATTATAGTATTCTGGTGGATTGTGAAATGTATTCTGCAGCGTAGAAGGAAGGTCGGGTGATTAGTGCAGTGTGCAAGCTTGGTAACGTTCTTATTATAGTTGTTGATCTTCTTGATAGAGGCTGGTCCACAACAACTCTTTAGGTATTCTTTGATTAATTTGGATGGCTATATTTTGTGACGCGAAAGACGATTTTCACACTATGTGTTTTCTGTCTCCTTTATCTTAGCATGTGGAATCTTAAAGTTCACTTGATATTTTTCAGAATGATTATGCTTACGTAGGTTGTAAGTAAATCCTTGGTCAGGGAAGTGACTAAATTTCTTTCACTCACGTTACCTATTGTTCTGTAAAATAGAACAGGTCAGATGATGTCTTGAGGACATATATATATATATATATATCATGTTTTTTGTTGAAATTACCAAAAATAGCCCATGTAACGCACCCGTCCTCGGAGGGATGGTATTGTTGCATTTAGTATACAACACTTGGCTCTCTCAATTTCTTCTCTCCTAACCTTAAGGTATTAGTGAAGAAAATAAGTTTAAGTTCTTTTTTAAATAGTGAAATTCTCTATTAAGCTTATTAAATAAAATTAAATAATTCTTCTTAAATCCTTGAATAAGTTCTTAATAGAGTTTGGAAAGAATTAACATTCAAGTATAGAAGGTGTTTTACATCTTGTGGACATGTCAGTTTTGACGAGTTCAAGCGTTGAATAAGAATTATTTTCACTATGTTTTAATTGTGTTCAGTCTCTTTAGTTACTTTAAACTCTAACGAATCTGATTTCTCGGAGGAGTGTGTGTGTGTTTGTATATCAAAACCACATCGGGCTATCTGCTGTATCCACCGAAGGGAATCGAACCCCTGGTTTTATTATTGTAAATTCGTAGACTTACCGCTATCCTACTTGGGGACTTTTCGAAGGGAAGGTAGTATACCTTATGCGTTAATTAAAATAATAAATACACGTATCTTTTGCTCAGGAAAAAGTTTCATTTCGCTTATGCAAATAAATGTAAGTTCAGAGAGATGATAATTTATGCAGCTTTATTAACGAAAATAGTTTTTGTTTAATATAACAAGAATTAACTATGAATGTTTTGTTTATGCGATTAATGAACCTTTCTTGTGAAGAAACATTTCAATCGGCTTGGATATCTATTAATATAATGTCAAGCAAAATTATATTTTGATTTATTTGCTAACACTAAGAATGTTTTAAATCTATTAGTAACTGGGATTAAATCAAACATTTATAAAATTGATTTGAGAAACTCCAAAATTATCTTAAATATTTTGTTTTTTTAATAGGGAATTTTCCGTTGATTTATTTATCAATGTACCAACTAATCCGAATGACCTCGTCGTTATATTTCGGTTATTTCCGGTCGCTACCTCTTGTAGTATAGAGGGCGCTGAATTACAGATTCACTGCTGAACCCACTGGGGGCGTTGTATACGAACTGCATTTACTAATTTTGAAGCATTTTATAATAAAAATATAAAAATCTTATTAGTTTCTGTTTAACATGTACTTTACAAACAGGCTATTGGTCTTTTTGTCGGTGCCAAACGCTCTCTTAATTTTGTTTATACTTTATGAAAACCCATTTATAAAAACAAATCAGCTTAAATGTATGAATTCAAATTCGGTGACGAGGAACCCACTTTGAGACTAATAATGGCTGGAGACGGCTTGAATGGGTAATGAAGAAAAACTTTAATATAAGTTTAAC